CCAGTGCGTCTGCAGACCGAAGACTCGCACTATGGGTGAATGCCGAGTAAAATATCTTGAGATAATTTCTCAAGGTCCAGTTTCAAGTTTCGTGGTCGAATCTCCAACTGATGAAGACGCGATTTGTAACTTCGGGATTATTTCCCAAATCAGAAATAGCGGGCTATTTGGCAATCTCGAGCTGATGAGGACAGGTCTTATGAGAAGATGAGACAGGCGTGAGTCAGGCAAGGAGACTAAATTCCCCTTCCCTTTTTTTTTTGATGACCTATCGAACGATTTGGGAAACCCGAACCTAACAAATACTCCACTAGCATCTTCAAGAGGGGGAGGGGAGGGGTGTGATCCTCAATGCCTATTTGGACAATGAAATTACCACGGTAATTGGTTACCCTCAAATCTTCAATACCACCATTTTTCCCTTCCCCGTTCTATCTGGTACTGCATCCTTCATCTTTAGTTCTATCCTCAAAAAGTCATTTTACCAACCAGTTTGCAGTACTTCTTTGTGCATATTATACCTCACATTTCTCCATAGTCTATTTCCATTGGAATCTGTATGATTGTTCAAATATGAGAGAAAAGAGGTGTCCGAGTACTTTCTCTCGCTCCCTCTGTGAAAGACATTGTTCGACATCCCTAATAGGCATGTCAAAAGGGAGTAATTACCGGAGTGCAAATATGATTTTCTTCTTTCAGTCCCGGGTGTCTCCTTTTGCGTTGGTTAAAGTGCACTCTGGTCAGGTGTTAAGTCACACATTATTAATGGTGAAGATGTAATTGAGACAGGGAATGGGGAAATCCTAGATGCTAGGAGCCATCAGGTCAAATTCTTGGAGCGATTGCAATCATGTTTTCAGCTAGATGGTATTGCTATAAAAAAAAAGACCCTTCAAGAAAATCAGAACAAATTGAAACAACTATTTTATAACATGTATAGGGCCGACAAGTACATGTGGATGAATGTGAAAAGTGATAAGAAACGCGGCAGGATTATCGTGGATTAGAATTTGAGGGGCAGGGAAAAATACTACCCTATATTACAGAATGAATGCATGTCCGAGTAAAAAATAACCGCATCTAGCTGGGTCTAGATCTATATCTTCAATATCCAAGAACATTCCTCACAAAGGTTTGTTTGTATTGCTGTCTTTCATATCTTGAGTAATCACTCAATCTCTACAGTAATACATCTCTTCTCCATCCATCATTTCACTTTAAATCTTCAGGTTTTGTTTCTTCCTCCCTCGATCCCTCCGTCCAGTCCATCGATCTTACCCCTCCCCCCTTTGATTTAATTTCCTGTTCCAGCCAGAGAGTTTGACCTCCTCTTCTGCCATTCTATACTGTATGGCATTCTCTTGCTCCATGCATAGGCATTCCTCACTGGTGAAATACACCACAGTATGCAGGTGATTTACACCAAAGTATGCAGGAGAAATACACCAAAGAGTATGAAGGTGAAATACACCGAAGTATGCAGGTGATATACAAGACAGTATGAAGGTGAAATACTCCACAGTATGCAGGTGAAATACACCACAGTATGCAGGTGATATACATCAAAGTATGAAGTTGATATACACTGAAGTATAAAGGTGATGTACACCAAAGATGACAGTTTGCAGATGATATACACCCAAGCGTATGGAATAAAAGCAGATTCCTTCTCTAAAGTCCAAAATGCCACTGATTTATTAATTTGGTGCTGATATGGGTAACAATAATCTAGGATTAATTCTTTGTTGGTGTTCCATGTATTATCAAAATTACTCAAATCACTGAAAGACTTCACAACTGAGCAAGCAGAGATAAAACCCAACTTTCTAATCTTGAAATGCATGCATTTGAGCATTCAAATACATTTACACACAGAGAGCTACTAGCAACATTTGGAAAAGTATATTAAACCGGGCTGATTTCTCCACGAGATGAAATAAGATCGAAAGCTAGAGGAGGGATGCATCATAAAATGATAAAATTTCACCCAAAGAGGAAAATTTGAGAAGAGAATATATAATTAATCAGTCTGCATTTCTCAAATCAGGAGCAAGTCTCTATAAAGCTCATCCATTACGCTTATTTTCCACATTTTTCTCCTTTTTCACAACACTACCAAATTGTAAATCTTGAACTCTTGTATAATTTTGTTGCACCCCTACATAGGCCTACTTCTATTCCTTTTATGATAGCTACTATGTCTTGTTTTATGTGCATAAATATGTGATGTTTTTCATGATGAAGATGGCAGGTATACGAGATACACCTAAGAATAGCGAAATAATGGGGGGTGAATCACGAGCATCAAATGACTTGCAACAATTATCCTTTCCCTACTAACAAGGTAACCATCTTGTCTTATAGCCTTGAACTTTTTCTTTACCAGCCACCATTTTCCTCCTCTTCTCCTCTCTCCATGCTTCTTAATGAGCGCCATGCTCTGCCAGAATGCTTTGCTAAGGTTTACCATATCTGATAAACGACCCACTTAGCGTTCTAATAGAGTCATTAGGTGCAAGACGCAAGAAGGAAGAAGGCCAAAAAAAAGTACACGTTCCCCCCCTTTTGTGGAGGCTGAGTCAATATTGGGTGAGCCTTGAAGAGCCTGGCGTAATGAACTTGGGATGAAGCTGTGGAGACCAGGTTTACCAGGTTGTCACATTACCCCAAGAACGTGGATCCAGTCGGTATCTATCATTACATACCTTCGTCTACAAACCCACCTTGGTATAGACCTATGGCCCATTCAGACTCGAGGATATTTTACAAAACTCGTTTAAAGAAACGTAACTTGAAACATCACCATTGTATAGCAAAAGGGCATATATACACACTTGATAATAACATGGTATAAAGAAGTAGCGTATATATTTAAAGAAGCTAGTTTCGAAAAGGTCAGTTGATCAGTTGTGTGGCAGGTGGCCAATCATCATAAGCCCCATCCAGTTTTACAATTTTATGTTCAGGCAAGAATGGGACTCTTTTTTATCAAGGTCTTGTTCAAAACGATGCTCGAACATGCGTTTCCCTATATGGCATTTCATTTTACCATATTTATTTAAACAACATTCTGACTATAAAAAATAGAAAGGTATTATTACGTAGCTACAGGATTCTCATATAGGGACGCGATGAATTTTGATAGTCTGAATGGAGGGGCCAGACTATTACCAGTCTACACTGATAATGTACATTGAACCATGTATGATGATCCAGAGCAATTTACTCAAGTTTCCTTGGACTGCTTGTACAAGGGGATACATTTTGACAGATGCTCATTATGAAGTTTTGTAAACTATAGTACATGTATGTGCAGCTGAACAAAATGTGGCTGGGTCTTGAGGGACAGAAGCTACTTTTGATCTTCCTTTTAACCCAACGACTGCAGAATTCATTCATTTCCATAGGCTTAATGCAGGGACCACCCGGTTCCAGGAGACAAAGTGTTAAGAGGCTTTGACTTTTCTCTAATGTTGTACTTTACATCCAAGGTGAATGGATAGCAGCGATAGAAGACACAAGGAAGAACTTAAGAAGAAAAGAGAGAGAGAGAGAGAGAGAGAGAAGAGGTGACAGAGAGAGAGAGGGGGTAAGAGAGATGGCTATGGAGAGTGGTGGAAAAAGAGAGAGAGAGAGAAAGAGATGGAGTTGGAAGACAATAATACAGATTGCTCTATAAGAATTAGGGTAAAAGGTATCAAAATATACAGAGAGAGGGATCAAGAGAGAGGGATCAAGAGAGAGAGAGAAAGAGGGATGAAAAGGAGAGAGAGGGAGAGAGAGAAAGAGAGATGAATAGCCTCGTTCAGATAAGCTGCAGTATTAAAACCATGTAGATTTTTTTTTAAAATCAAGACATAATCGTTAATACGCTTCACATACCTGTAGTATATAACACACAATTCATAGAATATGTGTAAGACCTTTATTGCAGGCAGTTGACATTCATTTACACTTTAAAAAAAACCCCGCAGTTTACCATTTCACATCGGAACGAGCCGTAAGGGAAGGGTGAGACGATGCAAGGTTGCCCTTTCATCTCTAGCTTGCTTTCCCCATGCCTTTCACTCCCACTCTGCCCTTCATATCCCCTTACTATCAGATCCAAAGCGTATATTCTCTCTATCTCATCCACCCCCATTCCTCCTTCCATTTTTTAATCCAAGGTGTTGAAAAGACATTTCTGACACCGTGACCTTATTCCAAACACCCCATTAATCTCAATTCGCACGTCATCTTCTTGTTATTCGTCCCCGCCCGCCCTAAGAACCCCCTCCATCCATCAGTAACCAGGCCGGGAGATGGCACCAAACCGAATTCTCTGTTATTCCGTGCCCTGCAAAGCGTGCCGAGGAAAATACACGCAGACTTCACTCGCAATAAACATTCAAACAAACGAGACAAGATTAAAGAATAAACTGTTTGGATGGGGAGTGTTTTTGCAAGATGGTCGCATCTGGCTTGCGTGCTAGGTTAAGAAGTGGGTCGTGTTTTTTCTGGGGTGCGATGTTAGGCGTTACATGTCAGATATTTTAAACGCATCACTTCGTCTTCATCATGTCAATGACAAGCAAACAATGACATAAGTTCTGATCCTCTGCTTTTTCATCCAGAGCTACTCTCTAACTTATGATCTGCCATCAAATATTGGACATTTTTTAATCTCCTAAAGCAAAACAAACCTTTATTCCTAAATTGTAATTTCCCATTCTTTTAGGATTCTAATACTTAAATTTTACATGTAAATGTCTCTTTTTCAATTGGGAAAAATCCAAGGTGGTAAAAACACAGGGTCTAATAAAGTCAATTCTCAATTAACTCTTTGTTTGAGATGGATTAAAACTCTAGACTGCCAAATTGCTTGGAAGATACGATGCATGGACGCAACATGTACAATGTGCTTGTGAAAAACTTCAACTATGGCATTCCAGTTTGTGTTCCATTGGTCGACTAAAGCAGGTAAAGGGTTATTTTTTTGTAAATTATCTTGAAGGTCTTACCTGAGGAGAAGGTTGTAGCGTTGACGCCAGCATAATTATCCACCGTGCCCTGGCTCGAGACCTCATTGTACGAATGCACCTTGAACTCGTACGTCGTATGCGAAGATAACCTGCTCACGTTGACCTCGTAGCCTTGACCGATTCGCTGGATGGACGAGAACTGGACGTCTGCCGGACATCGCTTACAGTCGATTCTGAAGTCTATATCGGTCCGGCCGCCAAGATTTTCGGGATTGCGCCACGTTAACGTGACGACGGATGATTTTTCGTCGACTACCGCAGTGAGGGATGTGGGTGCTGATGGGGGTGCTGTGAATGAAAATAAAATAGAAGATTGGTTTTTATAATCATGAATGTTCCTTCTACATTATTATGAACTTACAAGACTGCGACACGTAGCTCCAGCTTCAATATACATGTAATTTAACAACAATTATTCATACTATTTCGTCTTCTATAAGAATCATTTCACATTAATGCACATGAAAAGGAAAGTAAATAACTCATGTTAATACTAGAAATATATACATATGTGTCATGATGAATTTATACGATTGCATCAGATCAATTACGGAGCGAAATCCTTGTGTATTATTTAGATTTTTGGCAACCGAGAAGGAAACTGTCTAGATTTTTAACAAGGGTGAAAAGGGCAGGGGCTACATTAAGGTAATGGATTCTTAGAGTAACTTGTTCAGTTCTATCTGATCTTCAGACAATGTCGGCTCATACATTTCAAGATCGTTTATTTTTTCTCCCAGACATATTGCAGTTTAATGAAGCTTTTTCATTGCTATGACTGGACATGTTAAACATTCATGTAGCAAGCGAGAGGCAATCAAGGACATTATATTGGTCTGTAAATCACCGAGGAAGAACGTGTCTAAATTGTACAGTCACTTTCACCTCCAGGCAAAGTTGTTTTAGTTGAGAAGAGAAAGAGGAAAGGGAAATCTTCTCTTGACCAAATGTATCTTAGGATTGGAGACGTCTTGTCTCTGGGAACATTGTGATACATGATCGTCTAAAAGACAGAGTGGCGAGCCCTCCAACATCCCCATTAGAAGGCAGTATGCTCCCCATCGTATTTTCATTAAACTTGGAGACAGTCGTTGGCGGTCGGGGGGGGCGATTTCACTGCGAATAAATCCAACTTTGATGAGGAGGAGAGTTTGTTTTAATCTTTTTCTATGAACTTTCGAACCCGACTCTAAAAACAGCAAATGTCAGAGAGTTAAATGGATTAAGCATGGAACTGTATCTTCTTCATTTTCTATGAATATTCGAGAATGAAACCTGCATTTCGGTTGCACAAGACAAATGTTTCATATCCTCAAAATATGCAGGATAACGAGGCAAGAGATTGCAAATGCATAGAGATATTTTCCCCAATATTTTGTCTGCATATTTTTTATTTATCTTTGTTAGGTAAGAAAGTCGAGCAAGGAAGGGACATTTAAAATTCCATGATCCTACAAGAAGGTTACAGGACAACCGTATCAGCTATTTTTTTAGATAAGAAACAATTTGTGATGGGGAAGAAGAAAAAAGGATTTTTAAAATGCAAAAATATGGGTTTAATTCTCCCAATATTTTACCTGTTGGTTTCATTTATGAAGCCCACAGTTTCAAACTGGACTTCTAGGACGAACAGAGTTGATATGTATGTATATCTGTCTTTTATATGGAAAATAGACCAATCCAAACCAAGTTTATCTAAGTTAGATGTGGAAGTGGAGTAAGGAGAGGAAATCTAAATGCTATCCTCGTACAAGAAGATTCTTTCCCTCTCATGACATCATCCTCTTAGATTGCCTGTCTGTCTGGGATAGGGGCCTGTCTACTATCTATTTGAGAGGTGAGTGGTACTATTTTTACAGGGAGTAGTCTGAAGATCAAGGATGTCTATTCTTATCTGAGAAAGGGTAACATTCTTGACATCTTCATCTTCCAACAGTTGGTGTCTGGGTAGATGGATAAGGGGAGAGTGGTGAGCAAGATGCAATGTGCATTGTCTGTTAAGAGTTAGAAGGGGCTTATCATCAAATGCTTTTTCAATATAAAGTTAATGTCTCCTGGCTTTCATCAGACAATAATATGATGTTTTGCTGTATTTTAACCTCCCATCCTCTCATCTCTGTTTTAAATGGATGATTGATGGATATTTTTCTTAAACCATTGTCTACTGGAACTGGGTGGCTCTTATATTAAGCCTATGGCAATGAGGGGATTCAGAAATCATCGGGTTAAGTTGAATAGAAACGAGTAATGGTCATTCGATACTAAAGGCACTGACATAGTAGTGAACCCTGCAGCTACTGTTCCAGGGACCACCTTATAAACCCCTGAACCATATTGTCTCCTATAAATGTTTCTTTTTCATATTTCAGATAGATAAAGATGGGAGGGGAGAATCTCAAATGTCAATGAAATCAATGTAGATTCTAACAAGATAATGAAAGATATCTGAGCAGGATTATTCCAATTTTGTACAAACATATGGGAAGGAAGTCGACTGTTATAGAACCCAGTTCGTGTTCTGATTTTCACGTCCTAAAGCTAATCTGATAATTATCAAAGACATTATCAGGACCCTGTTTCATCAAACTTGTTATCAATTCCAAATGCTCAATTTCCATGACAAATTTACTCTCAGTCAATTTAAATGCCATGGTTTCATAAGCTTATGACAGTGATTATAACTTTTTATTGATAACAAGTCTTATGAAACCTGGCCCTGATATGAGTCAGAATGGTATGACCTATTACCCTTCAATAATGAAGTAAGTTAGCACCCTTCTAGCACTCATCTCAATATGCATCATTTACTGAGTACCAGAAGGTCGTAATTAGCTCCTCCACTCTTTATATGGAGTTAGCTTCCTTTAAGCACTCAAAAAATCAGATCAAAGCTTATCATATCAACTGCTGAGTGCAAGAAAGGCAGTAACTTCAAATACTTTCACATAGATTTACTGCCCTTTTAACATTCAAAACATTATGAAAATGCTCGTCACATCATCTGCTGACAGCAAGAAGGGAATAAACTGTTAATTACTTTTCCATAGAGTTACCGCCCTTTTTGGCTTTCAGCAGATTTTTTGAATAACCAATATTATCTGCTGAGAGGTAGAATGTCATTAAATCCAACACCTATGTAGTTAACGCCCTTCTGGCTCTCAGCACACGATATCACCTCACAGCTGTCACTGGGGAGGTGGTCCTCGATCTAAACATCATTTCAAAGACTGTCATGACTCGATTCATCACTCTCAAATAGTAATCTTGGGAAAAGAGGTTTACTTTGATACAATTTCTAGCTGATAAGGGGCGAGGCCGGGCGCCCCAGGGATCACATCCATGTGCATGCACATACAACGCCCCTTTCGCGGTGAAGTGATTTCCTGAACACTACATCTTTGATGGTGTTTACGTAGATGATTGCTAGAGGTGACAGCTAGCATAGGGATGGGAAAGGGTGGGAAGGGGATGGGGATATATCCTAGTTCAACTTCCATTTGATACTTTAATACTGCAATAAAAACTCTGTGATCAGTTATGCAAAATACAGGCACATATCCATCCTTGTACTAAATGAGGAACTATTTGTAAAATGTTCTAAATTTCAAGGAATATGGCCTATGTAGTTTTATTTAACAGATACTTATGATAATTCCTTTAAGGATCACATAATCAGGGAAATTGATGGATAAATGCATGTATCATAATCATTATTCAAGACAGCCCAATGTATACATTAAATGGAAACCATCACAGATGAAAATCCATTAAATAATTATTTAACATATATATGACTCAACTTTCCTTTAAAGTTGAACCCCATTGCAATGCGAAAGTGTTTAACCCATAGCAAGGATGTGTTGTTACAAAGAAGTTTCTTTAGGCACCCTTGTTTGTTATGGATTTCATATTTAAGACATAATATTTTGGAGGAATTTTCAAACAAAGTCCTTAAAACTGGCTGGGTAATCCCTCAAGATGTAAACCCCTGATTAAAAAGTCATCACCGTGTCCCTAGTGATATGACCTCTTGACCCCCAGACTGATGAACTCTGACCTTACAGGTGACTACTCATCAAGTTCATGAATTCCAAGTTGATGTTGTCATGGCGATAAGATCTCTCAAAGGCTAGTTTAGTACTAAGCAGGGGAGTAAAACAAGATCTGAACTTCAAGTAAGCGTAAGCCTATTCAGTAATTTTGCTGTTCATTCTTTGCAATAAGCATAACATCCATTCCAAAAAAAAAATTCAGAAAATGTTATTGATAAAACATGAAAAGGATTGACAAAATAAGAATTAAAAATGAGCAAGAAAAATAATTTATTCTACTTTGAATTAAAAGTAATAAGCAAATATTATAATAAAATTAATTTGTGGTTTCCGTTGCTGCTGGAGCTATTTCTACAACCGCCTTCCTCCAGAAATTTTTCTAATTACAGAAATAAAACATGATTTACTTCCCTCTGACTGGACATACAGCTTAGGCGAAGGAAATAACACAGACACACGGATACCCAAAGACATTAGTCCTCAACCAAATCAGTAACATCTTTGCGAATTATTCAACAGTCGGTGACATTTGAGGCATCCCTCGGCTCAGTGGACAAGGAAGGACTGGGAAGAAGTCCCTAGGTATTCATTCCTCATACACACTTGATTAGCCGTGCCCTTACTCCCTCCCTCTCTCTCCCTGGCGATACCCATCCGTCACAAAGTCGTCTTTACGATGAGACAAAGAAGCGGCTACATTCCTATTTTCATCCTCCCCTTTGTCTCCAAAAAGCATCTCGATCCCCAGCTTATTATCAATCACATTAGACATGTCGTTTGTTACTTTACGCTGCCCTTTATCGTTCACTTGTATGTTTTGTTTGAGAGAGTACATGTATGCTGTTTGTTACTTTACGCTGCCCTTTTATCGTTCTCTTGTACCTTGTGTTTGAAAGAGTACATGCTGATTGCTACTTTACACTGCCCTTTAACTTTAACCAGCTTGTTTTCTAAATGTCATTTGTTACTTTACACAGCCCTGTAACATTAGCTTCCACAATTTATTTGAACAAATACATGTTGTGTATTACTTTATGTTGCCCTTTAATGTTTCCTTGCACATTCTTTTGGATGAGCACATTATGACATGTCATTTATTACTTTAAGGGGCCCTTTTTATTTTTTTCTTGCACGTTTCGTGTAAATGAATACTGGCTTGTGAACTCAACATATTTGTGCTGCGAGGTACATACACAGAAGACGGATGATAAGTCAAAGAGCAGATAATGTTGATTGAAACTTTAAGCTGCCCTTTGACATTAACTTGCATGTTTTGTTTAAATGCGTAAATTTCATTGTTACTTTGTGTTGCCCTTTAACGTTTCCTTGTGTGTTCTGTTTGAAGGAGTGCCTGTCGTTTGTAGCATTAAGCTGCCCTTTAAGGCTTCCTTGCACGTTTTGTTTGAATGAGCGCATTTGACATGTCATTTATTACCTTGCGCTGCCCTTAAACGTTCTATTACACATTTTGTGTAAATGAGTTCTGGCTCGTGAACCTAACATGTCTGAGCTGTGAGTGATGTGTACTCAAGATGGATGATAATTCACAGAGCAGACCAACAATTTGTACAAAAACAAAAAACTTAATATAACCCAAAACACAACATGGATGAATTAGCTGTTAAGGTCAGTAACATAATGACTTTTCCAGATCTAAATTCATGCATCATTAAATACTTAATAAACACCCTACATAAACTCTCGTTTCTTTTCACATTATTGCTCAAATTTTTATTTTTCAGATTTAACCCTTGTATTAAACTCAATACTGACAGTTTCATAACTATGAATTTGGGAACATCTCTGTTTGTTTCTAAACAACATTTAGTAAAAATGAAAATGAAAAATATTATATTGATTGCTAAACAATACATGGTTATTAACCCTACTTTATTCCATATATTGACAGATAAGATAAAAGACCGTGCCCTCTAGGATATAAATCTCTACACCTGTTTCACTGTCTTTACAATTTGTGTTTTCCAATCAGTCATTCCAACTCTATGCAATTCATCTTTGTCTTTTGACCAATAGTTTAAATCAAATCAATTTTAAAATTTGACTTCAGATCCAATATCACAGCTGGTCTGTCATAGACTTTCAATTTTGTCTGAATTATTCTCTAAATCTCCTTGTTTTCCCTCTCGAAACAATTTTAATGCACTAAAACAGACAATCCTATTATTTTTGACAATCTAATAAGTGACTGTATGGAGTGTGTTACAAGACCACATGTTGAGTGTATATGCAGACCCAAGTCTCTGGCCCTCAGTCTGATTTCTTTTATATTATATCAAATAACATCTCTTTTTATAAATATTTTGAACCTTTTTGGACATAAAGTGGGATCTTATCTAAATAACTCTTGTCATTCAACAAGGAAATTGGTTCTGTAGGTTTGTTTCTTCTGTGAACAGGGCAAACCAAACACTGTCAATGAAAATATGATGAATTGAAGGAATCCCGAGGAGTGTGTACAATGTATAGAGAAATATTATATTTCACCAGTGAAAAAATACTCCAAAGAAAACGAAGAAACCTTGAAACATTCTTTTAAACATCATAATATCATCCCGAATAGAAATCAACAGATACCCACTAAGAGCGGGACAAGTTTTGGCTCTGTAAAAAATCGTATGAATTCTTATTCAATTTCTTTCTCTATATTTTTATTCCCTATCCATTAATTTTGTTACAGTTTATATACTGCAGCTAGATTTCATTATCAATGTTTGCCTAGCTTTCAGAGTGAAAGTGTAGGCAAATTGAGAGAGTCATCATGTTATCAATCTTAGCTTTTGAACATACTTTTGTGAGATGGTAAAAAGCAAATTGCATCTAGGGAGAGTTAGCTCTGTATAGAAAATGTATGAGTTAGCACAATTCTGGCTCCCAATAGTTATGAAGTATTTGAGTATCCCTCTCCTAATAATAGTGGAAAAAGCCCCAAATATATCCCCAAATTAATTTTCTCAGAAATTCCCGCTTCCTACAAGAAAAATATACAATCCTTCCGAATGCAACAATGAATGGAGAACCAGTTCACGGGCCAAACATTACTAATGAAATTAATCGCAAAGTCAATCCCAAATATTACAGTCCTTCCACTAAAATCACGCCTAATTCCGAAGGGACGGCCAGTCCTAAACCAGTCTTTTCGTGACCACAAACATGGGGAAACTCATATCGGTCGGGCCAGCGGGAGGGGAGAAGAGAGAGCGGTGCATGGAAATGACGACGCACAGTCAAAGAGATCTAATTGAGAAACATGCGATACTACAAAACAAATAGTGAGCTCACGCACGCATATTTACACGAGAAAAAGACACAATAACTGTGGATAAGGTACAAGGCGGTAACTCAGCCGGGACCTAGGGAAGTCTTTTGGAGTCCGGTTTCCATGAGTCATGGTCGAAAAGTAAACTTTAATCCAGTTATTCTTTCAAAAAAATAAGAAGAATAAAGGAAGGCAAAAGGAGCTGATTTGAAGCAGTGTATCCAAATACAGCAAATTTCACTCCCCCCCCCCCCCCCCCGATTCTTTATTAAACCAAAATTGGCCTCAGAAAAAGTTCACTGGTATACTGGATGCAAAAGAATAAATATAAGTCATTGGGAATATTTCAATCTCCCCGCTTCCATGCCTGTAAATGTGACTCTAAGGTTCTGGTCCAAAATTATGCTTCTAAATGATGACATCACATCAAAAAATATCTTTGAAAAGTGAAATTGAAACTAATAACAAAACATAAGGGACAGGGACAGATTATTTATGTCCTAAAAATCTGTGAGCTTTTATCGGTGTAAAACATATAGATTCGGTATAAATTTAACAAACTACGGCCTTGCAAATTTACTGAAAAAAAATCACCCCCATTCCATCAATGGGTCAGCCAAGCAAGCCTTCATTCCAAATAGGGAGTACGGACTATACCACTGCAAAAAAGAGGGGTGTTTTGCATCATTACCTGTGCAGGGAGATGACGCTTCTTCGCCTGGCGCTCTGTAGTAGTCTGGGATACAAGTACATCTCGTTACCGCTACTGTGTCTGCATGGCTCTTGGCTGGGCACGGAGAGCATTCCGTTGTACCGATATCCGACTTGAAAGTCCCAATTTGGCATTCTGAAAAGTGAAAAATAATAATGAAATGAGTTATATTAAAACTCTAACAAAACATATCCACCACCAAATATTTTTCTAAATTACCAAATAAAAATGAAGGAGCTAACTGAAATCAAGAGCAGGTAAAAATGTAATCACATTTGAAATATGATACCTCTATGCATTTTCATACTCCTTAGTCCCTATTTACCAAGAGATGATTAGGGTGAAAATAAAGAGTATTTAAGGCATGATTAGGAAGTCAAATTAAGAAGACAAAATAAATGAGGTAGGATTAAAGTACCAAACTTTCCCATAATTCATATAATTTTTGTCGTACGGGAATCTAAGGATGTATTATTCGTGGAATCTTAAAAATCCTCTGTTTCTTCAGCTTTTAAAAGAAAAAAATTGGATAGTGAGAAAGAGGATTACCATCTTCTTTTACACATATGCAAAGCTTTCAGAAGATCAGACAATATTTATATTCTTATCAAGGTAATAAATGAGAAAACACATGTAGGTTTAGATCCTCAAACACACCCGCAAACCATTTTTGTCATGTCGAAAAAGTCATAAATTCAAGTGAGATATTTTCACTTTGGGCCACTAGATGGAGACAAAAACATGTTTGATTGAATAAGGCATGCGCCAGGAGAAGACTGCAGAGCAGAGCAACTCAAGCCCAACTAAATTGAATTCAAATGAAGTTTATAGTGGGGTAGGAAATAAGAAAAATAAAGCCAACCAAAGGTCAAGGCCATTATCAAGTTAGAGAGGAGAGCATTGGAATACTTTCCCTCTCGGTTTCTTTTGTTAAAAAGAAGAGGAGCTTGGAAGAGACAAGAAATGTACATATTGACCTTTTAAAGCTTGCGCTCCTTAGTGGAAAAGACATGATCTGTAAAATGTTTCTTTTCCTAAATGTACAAGGATTACCTACGCTCTGAGACGTTGGACTGCTACACGTGGGAGGGGGAGATGAATAATCTGGCAAAAGGTTAAATGCAGTGTAAGATTTTCTTCTGCATATGCCTTCTCCTTCTCTACCACAGCACACAGGGAACAACTATACAGCTTTGATATATACTATATATACTGTATATTTGTAATGCCTGGTTTGAGGAAGATGGTGATGTTATCAACAATATCTCTTTCTAAAGGCTTATGAAAAGTTAATAAAGTCATGAATAACTCATGATTGTAATTTTGTCATTCTCTTTATAATTACCCTAGTTCTCTTAATGTTCCTTCCCCATACTTCTTTCTTTCCTCATCATTTTTCTTAGTATCACCATGGCAACTGATAGCATCATCCTATTTTCCTCCCACTGCAGGGATTAGCAAGTCTAATCTTCATCCTCTATATGACTATATATCTGTAATACTCTTCTCCTAATTAATCATTAATATCATCCTTCTCCTAATCTTCATCATCATCAGCATCGATAACTTTATGATTTAATTCATTTTCATCAACTCATCCTCATCAACTTAACCAATGTCATCTATATAACTTGTTGGTAGTAACTCGTAATCATCATCCTCATCCTCATCCTCATCATCATCATCATCATCCATCATCTTAAACAACACTAACAGCACCATTAATTTTATTATCTAAGGCATCACTACATTATCATTATCACCAACAACAGTAGCTTCATCAACATTATCATTATTTGGAACATGAGCTTCTGAATGCTCAAAAGCACAGTAACACACATTTATTTTTATCTCAAATAAGCCATGTAGTCATATACCAAAGGTTTTGGTCATAAATCATAAATGCCCCCTCTGTGCGCCTGTTGATTTTAAACACTTGATAGTGGCTCGGACAGGCAATAAAATGATAGCAACTGCTGTTTGAATTTACAGCAAAGTTGGACAATCTTGAACATCCATTTCACCCAATTCAAGTGGATCTGCCGTCAAGAGTTTAAAAAAATGAAGGTGGAAGGAAAAATCAGAAAATGAAAGGATAATGGGTAAAAGCGAAGATTAAAGAAAGAGAGAAATTGACAAAGAAAGAAGAAATGGGAGAGGTAAAACATGTTAGGAGATTAAGGAGGAAAATCAAGGAAAGGAGGGAGGGACTGAGAAAGGGAGGGAGGGAGGGGGAATCCAGAAATTCAGATGAAATCATTGACTTGAGGGAGGGAGCAGAAGAAGGGGAGGGAGAGGGGGGCAGATGGAGAGACGGAGGAAGGGAGGGAGGGTTTTTTTAGTTTGTAGACTAAGATGAAGTGACTGAGGAGACAAGAGAGGGAGAAAAGTTAAGAGTTGGAAGAGAAGGACATGGAAATGGAGGGAAAGAGAGAGAAGTAAATAGAAGGAGAAGAAAAGATAGAGCGAGATAGTGAGATATTTCTTTCTACCATTGGAAAGAGATCAAGCCAGACACATAATATAGGGAGATATTTTGATACTCCGTGGATAGTAAATCTCTCACATTGTCACCTGCTCAAAGATATGTGTAAACGACTACCTAGAGGATATCAAACAGGGACAATTTCCAACACTTATGTGCCATGTACAATTATTTTTGGTGAAGGTTACAATGTCACAGAGAGAGAGAGAGAGAGAGAGAGAGAGAGAGAGATGGGGTTGTGTGAATGTTATGAGCCAATTTTAGAGGGTTTGAATGTTCACCTTTGGAGTCTGAATGCTTTGGAACTGAGAGCATAAACTGTGAAGTGTTATAGAGCTCTTGGGTCAGCTGTTGTGAAAGTTGGCCAGGTGTTTGAAGAGAAAAAATTGTATAAAAAAACCCACAATCACAGACAATTTGAAGATCTAGGTCATTCAGGACAGACACCTACCCAAAAAAAATATTTTGTTTTGAAAATTAGATTGTTGCTACAGGTAAAAATAAACTAAAATAAACTTACAAAATTGCCTCCAGTATTTTAAAAATCTTTATCATTTTCTTTAAATATAGATTATCTATCTATATCTATGTAATCTTAGAGGGGATACAATGAAATATAATTAAAAGAGATGCTGAGAAAAAAACATGCATCAGAACACACAGTGCGTGCTATATTTTTTACAGAGACTAAAAAGAGCTCCTCTCATTGTTGGTTGAATGTCGCCATCTATTGTCAATAACATGTCATTCATCAACTTTCTCCTGTATAAGAGATCCAATACCCACTCAACAGACATGGGATGTTTCTTCCAAAAAGGAAATTTGAGGCAAAAATCTTTAACATCATTATCCATTCAGGATTTTGTTCAATTTCTTGTGTTTCTTTTATTCATAATGTCAGAGAAAATGTGAAGCGGAATGTTTTCCAAAAAATAACCAAATCAGGCTTTTTCAATTTTGTTTGCCTTAACAAAAATATATATAGCTATGCTGTTCCCATTTACCCCTCCCTGAGCTACTAGATTCCAACATCCCTGCATTTTTGTTGTTGTTATTCTTGTCAATTTTGACAAACACATATTCTTTGATTTAGAACAATTTCTCAAGGGTTTGTGTCACCCAAAATAGAAACATGATTGGCAGGTCATTCACACAGAGAGGAGTGACTACTCTGTGATATTTGCTGGGGCTTGAATAAAAATAAACTCTACCTAAAGGGGCAATGTTTTTGAAGTCTCAAAACTTCACTGGTCTGTAACTTTGTATTAACCATGGAAAACATCATCCCATGTGACTAATTAGTTTTAATCCTTATTTTCTTTCCAGATAAAAGTGCATTTCTTGACGAAAGTGCTCATTTCAATTTCAACGACTTCATGACCTTTAATGACTTGTGGTTTTAAGGAAGCACTTTCTTGCGCATCACGTAAAGACAATCTTTTCCTTTCAACTATCTCTCCCGTTTCAAGGCTTCTACATGAAGCTGAGAAAAGCTATAACAAGAAAACATATTGTTGAAGCTATGTCATAAACATGTGATCAATAAGACAATTGAGGCCCAATTCCATGACAAGAATACTATCGCCTTAGGCCATGTTAGCGGACAAAAGATCTTTTTTGCTACAACATAAAAGCCCTTCCTTTTCTTACGCCGTTTTAATCTATACCTTCAAGGAAAATATAACAGAGGACTTTCATCCATCTGCATTTCACAAATATGTGGATGCTTTCTCCGCTTTTCAGATCTGAAGCCTCATCTCTTCATCGACGGCGCATCTTTCCATCCGCCCACCCCCTCTTGTCTCTCTCGACTTCAGTGACTTTTCTTGGGAATTCAGTCCTTGTTTTGCACCTTGTTGACAGGATCTTAAACTGCTTGTTATACTCTCCTGCCCTCGACTGGCCGAACAAAAAATCAATCCGGCAAGAAAGCTCGCAAACAAGGCGAGAAATCAATACTCTTAAAATTGCCCACTCATGTGCAGAGGTGTTCGAATGACCCTCCATCCAGTAGTAGCATAGGTATGAAACACTGACATTTTTCTTTTTTCGCGGACCCTGCCGCTTCGTTTGAATTCAAAATGTCTCTCTGAAGTGAAAAGGACTTCACCTTGAGAATATGTTGGGTTCATAAGCTCGGGTTCACAGGAAAATCGTCTCCTTGCATAAAATATACCCAGCATTTTATTCTCGGAGGTGTAAAAATAAACTGATGTGCATGCATTCAAAGTGAAATGGAATGGAAGAACCTTCTGAATTTTGAAAGTGATGTGATAGAAATCCAAACAAAGTACATGGTACATCTTCTTAGGTAAATCTCTCCTTGTGTCTCTTTTACATGCAAAGAGATGTTCATCTTAATTGGGGTAATTATTAAACTGAAAAAAAGGGCTGGGAAAAAACAACAAATTCAAGTCCACTTACCTAACAATGACAATAAGAAGAAGATAATGATTAATTTCAGGAGTAGATTTTTAATTTCAATCTTTAAGATATATGAACAAGAGGGCCGTGAACAATTTCAGCATGTGTTAAAATCCAGGAATAGTAAACAAGTTTTATCTAATGGGGATCTCAATACTATGTAGAACTTAAACATCAAATTTCTTTCCATATCTTGGTATCTTGATGATATTTATCAGAATTTCATATACTTTATGAAACCAAATG